ATGCACTGGCACTCCTCCAGCGTGCACAGATGCTACAAAACTATATGAATATCAATAAAAATTGTAAATAAAGAACGGATTACCTTAGGAGGACAGTAGAACTCCAACATGTAGCCCCCTGGTGCYTTTAGTATCACGACTCTGCATTTCTGCCAGAAGAAATCTTCTGTATCAACTCCTTGGTCTAAATTCATGAGATAATTCATAACTGCTTCCTTTCGAATAGTACTGGAAAGTGGTTTAATCTTTTCGATCGGTTGACCTTGGTGATCATCATTTGCCGAAGGGGATGTAACTCGATTGTCGGCCGTCGTCGTCTTTGCAGTCGTAGTTTCGTCGACAGAGCGTTTGAACAAATCCTTGACATCTCGAAGCTTTCGCATAAAACTAAAAGCATTTTCTCGGTCCTTTTTCTCCGGCGCTAAATGTTTGAAATTGCTTGTCAAATGCGTGTTCGACCCCCAATCATCGGGACCAAAAACTTCGGTCGGTGATTCCGGTTCGAAGATATCATCCATTAAACAATTTTTATGAACTTCTTGATTAAAACACTCGAGAAAATACTCAACAAAACGCTTCGAAAAGGTGTACGAAGCCCCTGAGACATCATAAACAGGGTTATCGTTGAGAAACTGAAGGAATTCACGTGAAAAAGCTTTGGCTGCGTTGTCGGCTCGATCCTTGCAAAATTCCTCCCATCTTCCACTTGGAAATGTAGACGCTATCTCACCATTAAAGCAAGCCATTAAAAAAACAATTCCCCTTACATCATAACATTGATTTGTCACGTTTACGATCCATAAAAGAAGAAAGGAAAATCTTTAAATTTCCACCATTACTTCAGCGGATTGCTGGAAATGACAAAATACTATGCGCAAAGTAATATAAATAGCACAGCTTATGCGCAACTTCCGTCGGCGAACGTCATTTTAGGAATAGAGTTTTTCTTTTCTTTTTTCTGTTTATGGGACGTCAGGTTTCCTTGCCAGAAATAGCCAAACATTACAAGCCTAATTCCTTTGATCTGGACAATGAAATATTAAAAAAACTAATAAAATGTACAATGAAAATTATTTGACATTATCGGTAGCCTGTGTACATCCGTTTCTCACCCCTTTTGGAGGGGTGAGAAACGGATGTACACAGGCTACATTATCGGGCGCGGGTTATCCGATTAATACAAATGCCGATACGGAAAAACACAGTATCGCCTACGTCATCAAATTAACCTAACAGATCAGAATGAAACTCGATCGAGAACTACTACGAAACTAGCTAGCCGCGAGGCCCTCTATGAAATGGTTTACAGTAAATACTTTTCTAAAAAAAATTATTTTTGTACAAAATGTTTCACAGATATCAACTTATTAGTATCTTTAAAAAAAATAGAACATTAGATAAGACGGGAACACCTTTCTGATCTAATTTATTTTATTTACATTTTTCTCTTTACATAATTTTTTGGGGGTTCTTTGGTTTGTTTTTCCTCGTTTCAATACATTTTGTTAAAATTTTGCTCAAAACATGACATATGATTAGTCTTCATTTTCATGACATGAACTACTTTAAAATGATATGGTCCTAGAAAAACTCAAAAGTAAACGAGAAAATATATTATCATTTTAAACATCTCGAGGCTGTATGGATACTAGCCACTTGCAGTAGATTTTAAGAAAACAATCAAAGATATATTCCGCAATAAATTCTCTTGCATATTATCTATCGACTGAGAAGATTTTTAGATCTTAAAAGTAATAAAGTATGATTACAGACTTATTAGACAAATAATAGCTTTGCCTAAATACAACACAAATTTCTTTGGTGTCAAATAGGAGTCGATGAGACATTAGGGTCGAACATCAGTGGAGAATCGTARTTACTACTGCTTGTRCTCATTTTGCGTTTYCCTTTTTCATCCTTATGTCTGTGTTTCTTTTTCTTCTTTTTGTGCTTTTTTGGTTCACTTTCTCCAGCGTCCTTAGGATGGACTTCCCCGCTGCTTTCAACGCCACTTTCGTCGTTTCCAAGCTATAGAAAAWAGGATACAGTATMAATATAACCCWCAAWCAGYAATATTAWCAATCAACMAGCCGAAACACTCAATCCTTAGGTATAAAAAGGAAYAAACATTTTACCTTKATTTTCAATTTGAGCTTGTTTCCTTCTGAGCAAGCAGACTCCACACTCAATGGGGTTCCAGGTTGAGAGTCTAAATGACTGKTGTCTAAAAATAAAACATGCAAAAACACTAAATTAAAAATCATAACGAGTCGTTTCGAGACTTCTGTCTGATAACCAACGGTGGCTCGACCCAAACAGTATGACCGGCTTACCTGTAGGCGAGTGTGGACGTGATGTCTTACGCTTTCTTTTGTGACTTTTCTTAGATGTTTTCGATGCTGTGGATTCTTCAYCACTTACAGAACCACCCTKGKTAATAATGTAAAYGCGACGGATTTAAGTTAGGATCAGGGATAGAAGGAAGTGAACGAAAGACGTAGCAAAACTGATGAGGTGCAAAATACTGAGACCAATTTATGCAGTGCAAAGACTCGACAGAGTTAAGGAAATAAAGGGTTATGGAAAAAGGAGTGAGAGATGAAGAAAGGAAAATTGGAAGGAACCATACATGTTAGCACAAAGCCGTGAGGGAAGGAAAGAAAGGAAGGAGAGAAGGATGGAAGGAAGTAATACGAAGGAAATAAGAAATGAAAAATAAACACAAGGAAAGTACAAAACAACGGAAGAAAGAAACTCTACCGGTGATGATGGCATGGCAAGCGGCGAGAGACTCATAATTTTCTCTTTTTTCAGGTCAATGACGATGCCCATCTGTTCACAAAAAAGCCGCTAAATTATTGGATGGAAGTGGAAGGATATAAAGGGCAAAAGATAAATATAAGGGCGGGGCGTAATAAGGAGAGGTACTTCGGGAACTAATAAGCAATACTGAACAAAAATCAAARTAAAAGACGCGTGGAATTCACTTGACGATACTCACTCCCTGTGGTGGAACACAAGTTGGTGTTAGCCTTCCGAACATAGAGTTATACAGGTCAGATGCATCACAGCGTAAACGGGCGTCGTGAACGGTGCTATTAAAAACACAAATCAGTAAAACATAAGCTATGAAGACGGCATTGTTCTAGCTAAAACAGACTCGTCCCTAGTCTTTTCCGATGCTCTAAAAGGGGTTATTTGGAAATGCCCTTGATGCATATCGTTCCGCTCTAAAGAGCGAGAGAAGATCTGGGTACGAGTCTGGCTAAAACAAGAGCAGGGACGCACTTACTTCATTATATGCCACAACCGTTCGACGATGTTCTCGGTGCAGAGAGGTGAATCGGCTTTGCGTGTGAAGGGAGGGTTTTCAGCTAATGATCTTAGTGTATAATGCCTGGTGAAATGGTAACATCAAAGAAAATCAAATAAAAATACTCTAGATTGATAAAACGATCTCAATCTCTTATATCTTGACGATGGAGGGGGTTTTCGAATGTTCTGAGGAACTGAAATGCCAGGTCCGGATTTCTTTACTGGGCCCAAAGCTGCACCTACTACTAGTCGCGTTCAAAAAATTCACCATATATAAGGTCGAGTTGAACAATCGAAGTATTATAAAGAACATTGAGTTGTCTCTAGCATGAAAAAACAATTTTAATGCAAACGTTTCGCTTTGCATTTTGCCACTGCACTGAAGACGATCGCAGTTGCGATCGAAGCGTTTGCATTAAAATTGTTTTTTCAAGCTAGAGACAACTCAATTTTCTTTATCATGCAACATCCTAGCTGCAACTTCAAATATTTCGTGAAATCGAAGTATTATGTACCTGATAAAAGGAACTGGGTCTTTTTCAACGATTGTTAGTAGAAAACTAAGAACTCGTTCACTTTGCTCCACTGAAATGATATTATAACATACAATGTTAGTTGCGTACAGGTAACAAAATGTTTCGCTGCGCTGGCTCCACTTGAGTTTTGAACATTTTATGATGTCAAGAGTGTGTCAGTAAGACGAYATACAAATCCGTAAGCAGTTTGTTAAATATTTCACGTATTTAGTGTTGGTTTTAATGATCTACCTTTGGCAAAGTCGACAAGACACTCAACAGCACATTTTCGTACATCTTCAAAATGACCATAACTAAAAAATGCATAAGAAATCATGAAATTTATCCTCGAAGAAATAACACTGTATTTAGTCTAGTTTGGAGTCCGACGCGAAAATGATTAGAATCCATCGCAGGATATGGGTCATGAAGCGTGTTTGACAGATAGGGGTAACGTTTRAGAAGAGCCGGGATGAAAGGTCTGGAGGGTTAAAAGCAGTTTCAAKATTAAAAGAAATTTWAGTTTTATTATCCGAAACCCAGACACACCCATCGCACTTAACACACCTTGAGTAATATTCGTAGGTCTTTGGATCGGATGGAACTTGTCCGTTGACTTGAAGAGTTCTTAAAGCCTTTAGGCAACTAAAAGAGTAAGGATCGTTACTACTTATGATCAATATTGCATATTTGAAATAAGAGTAGGTTAACGGCCATGATCATTCTACCCGATCATCTAGCTATAACACTAAATGTAAGCACATGCTAAGGTAGAATTCCATGTAGAATGCACGCTGAAGACGCAAAACTGAAGCATTATGCAGCACGAAGTTTGGCACGGTAACATTTGTCACGCAGAAAATCTTTTTAAAAAAAGTTTAAAATAGTTTTATAAAATAGTTGAGACACGTTGATGTCGCCAACCTTGTTTTAGAAATCTACTGAACACATTGTGCACTTCCAWATGTTGATAATCAACTGTACCTGACTGTGACGACGTATCGATAGGATGGTAGCAATTTCTCGACATTAAGACGTCGAGTCACCTCACTTAAAACAACCTGCGTGTCTTCTTTCAATTTGACAACATGCTTTCCAGTGCTGAGAAAACAAAACCATACAAAACTCCAATGAAGAACGGATTCAAACTGCGTTAGATTTAATACAGTCAACTCTCTCGTAAGCKACCACCTCGCGATTAAGAAAAAGAGGTCGCTTACTAGAGTGGTCGTTCAAACAGAGTTGACTGTATYATAATTACCTTGTGGTTGTAGTCATACATACTCCAGCAGTGACTGTCTTTGCTAAGGCAGTAATCAATGCTGCAATGTAGTAACCATCCGAATACTAAAATAGACGAAAAAAACACCTGTTTCACTATGACGCCACGGTATATTTACTTTATACTTGGGGGGGGGGAGGGGTGAGAGGACAGGGTAAAATCCATCCAAATTTATGGAATGGTCATAAAAGGTGCATGATGATGTCAGTTACCTTATTTATGCGATTATCGTTATATTTCAACAACTCAAGTAAAAATAGAAGAATTTCACGTGGACACTGTGAATGGATATTACGTATAGATGCTATGGCAACTGGGAGAGTCTGAAATGAGACAAATTCTCTGTACTAGTCACAGTTAACAAAGTGTTCACACGAATTTTATCATGTCATTATCCATGAAGTACATGCACATATTTCTTAATTTCTTGTTGTTTTCATTTGTGAAAAGAACACTTTTGTAATTTTGTACATATTAACGGGTAAATAAAAATTGTTATACACCCTTTTCATAAGTCCCGAGGCATTGTGTTCTCCGCACTTGACGTCAAATTTATTCTTTTGAAATTTTTACATACAAAAGGAATTCAAAAGAATCAATTTGACGTCAAGTGCGGAGAACACAATACCTTGAGACTTATTAAAAGGGTGTATAAAAGATCATTTGCTTTCATGGAAAATCATATGATAAACAGAATTACAAGGTTCCTAGGAGATACAGATTTCATCTTTTCGTGTTAGAAATCACCCGTTTGATATCAATCAAACACTCGAAGATAAAATCCATATCTCTGTGCGCCCATGTACTGTCCTATTCATTACTCATTTGTTGTATGAATGGTCCTACCTTGAGAATAAAATAAGATATAAAATTCGAGAAATCGTTATAACGAATAATCTGAGGACAAGATTTTGAGGAAAAGAAGTTTTTGAAGATGTTCATCATAGCGGCATGACCTGCCCAGCTTTCAGCGGTCGATGTGGCAACCTACARAGAAAATGAAATCCAGAAAGTTTTAAATGATATAATTTTGCATTGCATTAACGAGAGTCTAATTAGTCAAGAACTTTATTATTCCGCTTWATTATTCCGCTTTTCTTCRAGAATTCAGTCTTCCTCGAMCTTACCTTTGCCAAACAGTAACAAGCATCTTGCCGTATTTTATAGAAACATTCCTTGTTTTTTACGATGTCAATCAAAGCTTCACGAGTCGCTGGAGATGGGAATCGATCAAGTGCTTCAAGAGCCTRCAATTAAACAAATCTCCTGATCATTTCAAGCAAATGGAGACGGATTAGCAGCTTTCATGAGATGTGCGCACATAACATTCTCCCCATCACTCAACATATTGCAAGGAAGTTCAGCGTACTTTTGCTTGTGCCATGACGTCACGCTCATGACGTAGCTGGTACTGCCACATGTAATCAGGCTGCTCGAACGTCACGTGACGGAGCCACGTGACTTCTGGGTCGATACGCATCCAGAGAACAGGTGAATCAGAGCTAGAAAAAACAAGGATTAAATCAACGACAGTTGACGTACAATAGTTGTATTAGTACGAATCTCAATGATGCACAAATTGACAAATTTTGCAATTGATTTTATGGAAACATTTTTAAAACGATGTTGCGCATATCACAGAAGTGTAATTTATGTTTATTTGAAAAACAATTAGAACTTACTCCATTGCATCGAGATTCATGTCAACTTCCTCGCCAGTCATCAGCGGAATCTTCTTCTTTTTGTTTCTAAAAAGACGACGAGTATTATGTCAGTGGCTTCACAAAGGTTAGAAAAAAAAAACGTAAAATACAGATATGTAAATTGAGCTGAATGAAAAACATCGGAAAATGAAAGCAGGAAATTAGTCATCAAGGAAACTAGAATCAGATAAAATACAAATGGAATAGAAAAGAAAAGAAAAGAAAAGAAAGAAGGGAAAAGAGATGGAGAAAATGAAATGTGGTAAAAGAAATTCGCATTAATGGAGAAAACCAGATGGTCAGATAAAATACAAAGGGAATGTTACACTTTTTGAACACCTTCTGCTTTTGGAGTGACACGGCAGCTCGTGTCGACTGGATATGTCTTCTATCTGTACAGTATGATTAAACGATCCATCTAATTCTTGTATACACACAGTAAGTGGACCCTACAGTCGCAAAATAAGATCGTTAAATTTATACCGTTCCGTTCTAGTTTCAACATATTTGAATTTGGAAGGCTTACTGACTTGAAGTGTGAAACATTAGAAATACAATTTTGTACAATAACTTCTTAACAATATAACTTTATAACAATAATTATTCAACTGTGTTTTAAAGAATTTAGTAATGAGTGTTTCACTCTTTTACTGAATGGACAATCTCACAAATTAAAAACAAATCAATTTGTGCAAATTACATGGCACATGGAAATGACGTCAAACCTACCACATATTTAGTTGTACCACGTGATAAATCTTGCTTGATGTCCAGCTCTACAATATTCCTTTTGCGATTGAAGACGAAGCTGCCATGAAATTTAGCTATGCCACTGTGGCATCTGAATGACGGATGGTCAAGGATAAAACACATGCATAGCTTTGATCCCACTCTTCTATAACACAAGCGATTCCCCCTCCTCACAATACATGATACAGATACAACCTCCTTCCCAGTGCCCTCTCTGTAGCTATTTTCAAAATAGTGGACGCTACAGCGCGTCCACCATTTTGAAAATAGCTACAGAGAGGACCCTGGGGACGAGAGATTGATACATTTAATAAATACCTTTTGGACAAAAGCTAAATGCGAAAAAATGCATTTGCATCATTACAGAGATAAGAATAATAAGAATAATGTTCGCTTGATAATAGGGAAAGGATACATCCACTGGTCGATAAATACATTAATATCTTTTCCAGACACAGTTGATATTGACTTAAGAAACTGTTTAAACAAACAAACAAACAAAAACAGCACAAAAACTTAAATTTGTACAGTAACAAGCATTTCTTAACAAAGATCAAATGTCATATTGTTCCAACTCCGCTTACCCCTGTGGTAGATAGCAGTAAATTCTTCCATAAGCTTGGGTCGACTTTAGGTTGTGCAGTAGTGTTTGCTAGAGACAGAAGCTTGTTGAAAACCTATAGAAATGAAGCCAAATTGCAACAAACGTTAGTAATGATGGTGACTATGATTGTAGAGCGGATTTCGTATGAGTGGGACACCGTTACCGCACGGTTACCGCACAGTTACCGCACCTGACCTGCAGAATTTTGGTGAAACAATGGGGCACTAGAATTTGGTTACAGTACGATTACGGTCACAGTACAGTACCGTCCGTTTCCCACTCATACGAAATCCGCTCTAACCCGTAAATTTACAAAGACACATTGAGATGATTATAAGTCAGAGGAAGGAAAACATCGTTGAGAAAACCCAAGTTTTGGATAAAGGAACGAGTCAAAAATACAATATAATAATATAATATAACGAGTACAAAATACAATATTCCGACTTTAATTCAAAGTCATAATCGTTACAAAGACACAAAACAAAGAATGTGCATCCATGTAAATATAATGCATAAATTATTGCATTACAATTTCTTTGGATTTTTATAACACTGATGAATAAAAGATCAGCCTAGTTCAATTTTTTGAATAAAAGAGATTTTTTGGTCATAGCTGTTTAGCTGAATACCATGGTAAAAACTAATGGAGAAATAAGTGAGTTTATATTTATCTAACGTTACCTGAAGCAAAGGTTCTTGTCCTATACGATTCTCAATCATTCTAATAACTAGGTGAGCCTTACTCCAGGCGACTTCCTTCTGTTTCACGCCAATCAGATGAGGATGGAGATGGATGGCTGAGAATGGTGTTGATGATGGTACGATAGGAGGAGAAGTTAATGAAGAACTGGTTGATGCTGAGCTGGTACCTAGAGGGCTGTGAAGTGGAGGGAGACCTGGTCCTTCCATCTCATACTTACATACACACTCATTCTCCTATATCAAAATAGAGAACAAGAGTACAGACAGACAGACAGATGAATGATGAGGTATACATGCACACTGTACCTTCATGATCCAATGTCTATATTCATTATTTCCAAAAACCTTCTTCACAAACAAACTATAAAGATATCCTGATATCCCTGAACACAACCATGCATCAGACCTACAAAAAACAAAACAAACAAGTTGGTTCAAAATATACAAAGGTATGACACTTCTAAAGGTTGTCAAGTTGTCAACAATAAAGCTACTGACACTTTTTTATGTGTGACCTACATCTGGTGATCCCTGCTTTTACATTTTTGACTTATTAAGGGAAAAAAGATTGACTTTTAGCAAATCTAGTCACTCAATATTATGCATTTGGTCCACCTAAAAGAAAATGTGAATACCACAGTATTTTATAGAAGAAAAAACCTGTCTACATTTTGGGAAGCAGTGTCCATAGCTAGACCTGTCAACTTACAAGAGTGTCCACAAGTGACTGTGTATTTACGACAAATTTGAATTGACACACTTGACTTACATTTTTACATTGAAAGTACTAGTTAACCTACCAGTCCTGCATGCATATATAACAACCAAAAAACTGTTCAGCTAAAGCTTGGGCTAGAACTCTTCTTGTTATGAAAGTCTGGTCTATAATTTTTGAGGAGTGGAGAAGACTTGTGCTGGAATTGCAACGTCACAATATTTTAATATTGAAATCAATAAAGGTAAATACACTCTATATGACATGTACGTTAATAGTAGAATGCAAACATGAAATGCATGAAAAAGTATTTGCCAAATAGTGCTACAATGTAAATAGTGTGTATTTTGGAATTATTTGAAAATAGAAAACAAGGAATTCACATAAAATTCAGCAAAATGTCATCTTATAATAGTATTTGATTAGTATTTTTCATCTAGAAAAATAGTATTAGTGTTTTGGTGTTTTCTATAATATTGAATATTATTAGAATAAACTACTCTTTCTTCAGTTGTTTATTCATATATCAAAATAAACACAACTTACTTAAATATTGACATAGAAGCATAAGTCATCTTATCATCATATGCCTCATCCACAAAAACCTGTTTGTATTGGGTATATGGATATCGACAGCTAAGGTTTTCTTCATAGAACTCAAACACATCATGAATGAAAGCCGACGTGTGCTTTAGGTGAGACAGAAGACCAGGAAGACAAAAGTTTGTGACTTCTGGCAT